TACCGCCTCAATTTTAAATCGAATGAATGAAGTTCAGAATAGCATGTCACTTACACCTGTAGAAGAGGAAGATAATTGTTTATCTTTCCTAGATATATTGCTTAGTCGATGGCCTGATGGATCAATAAAACGATTTATTTATAGAAAACCTACCTGGACAGGACAGTATTTAAATTATCACATTTTTTGCCTTGTTCGATACAAAAGAGCCTTAGTAAGGTGTACTGAAAACACACTTGGTGAGGAAGAAAGAAAGTTGACACAAACTCTGGTTGATAACAATTATCCAGACAAATTCATTAGGAGTTATAGAGTAATCAGAAAACCAAGACCCACTCTCCAACTCACCACTAAGAAAAATGTGCACATCAAGCTACCCTATAGGGGGCATCATAGCAGCTTGACAACTAGACAAAGATTGAACGCTGCAGTTAAAAAGACTTTTTATGCAGCTAATATCACAATAATTGAGAATGTGAAGCCAATATATCCATCTAAACCCTTAGAACATGCAAAAAATGATTTCAAATCCCACTGTATTTACCAATTTGAATGTACGTGTGGACAAACACATACATAGAGAGGACTCATCGATCTCTGCAAGTAAGGGCTAGCTTCAGAATATATTCTTAAATGGCTTCAGAAGCAGATAGAATCCCCAGAGCTCATTAATGGTGAGAACAGGCTACCTAGCTCCTCTATTGCGAAATGTGTATTGTAGAGACAGGACATAAAATTGACGTTTACACATCTTTTAAACTTATCTATCGAGAGCGATAAAACGGACTTATACTGCCGCTACCCTTTGTTTGTCATTTTCCAGCCGACCAATTTTGATTGCTCAAGTGAAAGATAAGCTACCTAGTTGTGCCACTTCAATGTGTATCTATGAATTTAGTTGCTCCTGTGGAGAAAGCTATATAGGGCGAACAACTAGACAGCTCAACAAACGCATTAATGAGCATCTTCCTTCATGGTTCGGAAAAGGTCAAATAAAATCCATACGAAGTTCTATTTTGGCTCATTTGATTGATAGCGGTCACCAAGTGGACAAAAATAGTGCTTTCAAAGTTATCTATCGTATTCCATCGAGTCTTTCGAATGGAATCAGAAACCGTCTTTTACACTTAGCCGAAGCTATTGGAATTCGAGAGAACAATCCTAGTCTTTGCATACAAAAGAAGTTTGTTCTACCTTTGTCTCTCCCTTGGCCTAGGTGAACTGTATTCAAAAACCCTCCCACCCTTTCTTATTTTCCACTTCCTTTGTACTTTTATAATATTTATTTAAACTCTGATTATCGTTCCACTTCACCTTTTTAAGATATGACCCAATTTATTTAGACACTTATATACATATACTATCTTTGTTATTCTTATCACCTGCATAAACCTTATTATCAATATTTTGTTATCATTATAATCATCGTTATTAACTATGTTCAAAACATTTACCACATTATTATTAAGACTATTAAGATTATTATTTGATTCCCAAAATCACCGTCATTGGTTAAAATTTTATATATAAATCTATGTAAATTAGAGTAAAGCCTGAAGAAGATCTAATTGAAAACAATATTGTTCGCTTATATGTCTTGTTCTAATATTATCTATAATTATTTCTTTAAAGGTCTTGGTAATTTTTTCCCCTATGGAATGCAAAGAGGAAGTTAGATGCAGTACTGTACTACATGCTGAGAATTCCACAGTGTATCGAATGTACTGTTTGTAATAAAACTATTAATATTATTATTATTACTGATGTATGATTGAAAGCGAATTATCGTGTAATTTAAGTTGCGTCATACATTTTTATCCGGTGTGAAATTTATCAAGTGAATACTGAGATATCCAGTCAATAAACAGTTTCTGATTACCCTTTTTAATAATAATAATAATAGCTTTATTCCAAACAGTACTATGGGTACAAATATGGAATTTTCAGCATGCAGTACAGTAGCGCATCTAATTTCCTGATTCCACTGGCAATAATTAAAATAGGGCATTTACATTAATAGTAATTTACATTGACAGTATTGTTCAATAAGAAATAATTATAAAATTAAATCAAGTGAAAATATTAACTACAAAAAAATGCCGTTTACTTAGAATTCCGTAGTAATTTGGCAATTTCCTATCTTACACTTTCCTCATCAAATAAAATTTGTGTTAAATAAGGTATTGAACAGTTTTATACTTAGCCACCCGAGCATATAGTCTTCTACAGGTGCTTCTGGTTCCCCTACCTGATGAGATAGATGCAAGGAGGGAGTTGTCTATAGAGAGGATGCTTGAAGTCTGACAGGATAGTATTTGCCAATTTCTTGCAGCAGTCTATATGTCTATCTACATTAGTATTAACCGGTTGGTTTAGTGACACCGTACTCACCCGACTGATAACTTATAGTGTCCTTCGAAATATAAGAAAGTCTTTCTTAAGTAGCACAGGAAAGGTTAAGTTGGGGGGGGGAAGGAATAGAGGATAAGTAGAATACAAGAATTAACAAACTTAGAAAGTAGGGACTGACTTAGTGATACCAGACTGTGTTAACTTCCTTACGTAGGAGGTTACAAGAAATATCTTTCTAACAACTAACATGATAGGGGAAAACCAGGAAAGGCGGTAAGAGGATATACACTATCCAAGGTATTTAATATTCGATTTAGTTTCAACTTTTGTACCATCTATGATAGTGGAACTATGCGAACTAACCAGTTCATGTAGGTTGTTCTTGTGTTTGAAAGTGAAATTATACACCTGATATTTGGAGGGAGTTAGCTTAAGACCATTTGACGAGGACTACTGACTAATTTCTGATAAAAATTTACTCATTTTGGAACAGTCTGACTGAGAAGTAACCACCGGCATAGAAACAGTCAGATCATCGGTATACTTAACAAAATTGGCTTCGTCAGAATGCAGCATGTCATGTAAGAAGAAGGAAAACAGAAAAGGTTAAAGAACAACTCTCTGAAAGGGACACCAGCTAGAGTAAGTGAAAGAGGCAGTGGAGGACTTCCCAGAAAAGTGAGAATGCAACCACGTATTAATCCAGAACTCTGCTTATATTGCAGAAAGCTTATTTAACAAAAGAGGCATTAATACAGAGTTGAAGCTAAATGTATAATCTAGGAAGGCACGCCGAAAATATTTCGAACCCCTGTGTAAAGAGGAGACAATATTATGATATAAGACTAAAGAGGCATCTAAAGTACACCTACTATGTTTATAAGCAAATTGATTAGGGTCGTTGAAAGCCTTCAATAAAGGTTCAGGGTCAAATAAAGGCAGTTTTGCCATTATTTGTAAAAAAGGTGAAGTAATGGCAGTAGGTCTAAACTTAACACTTGATGATTTAGGCAAAGGAACAATTCTTATGTCCCTTCAAGAAGCAGGTACAGCGTTTATGGAAAACGATTCATCAAAAATACCAGTAAGAGGATAACATAAAATGTCCGTACATTTTTTTTCACGATAATAGCTGGTACACTATCTGGACCAAGGAACTGGTTAGGTTTCAAGGACATCGAGTGTATTAAAACCGGAGAAGCAGTCATTTTTGTACTTGTAACATTTTTGATCATAACATCTCCTGGATGACATATGAAGGACTTATTAAGTGTACCAGCATTAATTGAAGAATGGACATTACTTATTTGCTTATCACAGGTGATTTCCCTAAATAGTTTTCACATATTCGATGAGTTTATGCATGATAAGAACTTTTGGTTATAGATCCTATTTAATCTCTGTATTTCTGATTTAGTTAAGATGTTCAGTCTCTTAACATTAGGATTTTCTTTCATTTTGGTTAACTTTTCTTCTCGGTGGAGCTTTTGGAGTTGAGAAGAGGAGAAGCAGTCCATTCTTAAGAAGAGTGTCTCTTTTAGACAAATAAAGATAGAATTTGAGATAACACGTTATATCGCTTACTAAGACGTAGGGAATAATTGTCTTAGTCTAATTCTTTAGTTGTTTCTTGCAAAGAAAACATGATGAAGTTGTGCATGCAGGCTTAGCCCTGTGATATCTTCCTGCCTTCTTCAAATATGAATGTGACAGGTAGTATCTATTTTTCTGCTGAAATACCATAAAGCATAACTGCTTTTTCTAAGTGTTGATTTACAAAGATCTAACTGACTTCAAGTTTGAAAATCGAATGGACTTCAGTTAGAAAATCATTGGAAACCAGAAAGTACTTGACAGCTATTTCGCCCTAGTTTATTCATTAGATACTGGATTCCTTTCTAGAGGCTGAATGGTCAGCGAATCAGCCTTGTTACCTGACAGTCCTGGGTGCGTGCCATTGAAGAGTCCCAAACTAGGATGAAACATCTAGTTGTCCTGGTGTTCAGTGATTCTCTAATCGAAGACACATATGATCATATTTGAAATAATTGCTTATGCTGTCCTCTTGTCTACCTAAAACAGTAGCGCCAATTCTCTGCCTTCCACTATATGAGTGTTTATTACTAAATTCAGAGATGATTTTGTTGTTCAAGCAAGTAGAAAAGGGGTCTAAAACGAACTAAGATGTATGAGATGTGCTGTGTAAATCATAGACAGGTGTACAGTTTTTTAAATACAGTCGATTAACAGTAAGAAAATCAGGGTTTCAAGTGTTGGTTTATGAAGATTTGATTGTTTTCAAGTGTCAGCGTGAATGGTCTTCACAGTTTGAGAACCACTGACAACCAGGGAACACTGGACAGTCGTTTCGTCCTTGTTTAGGACTTTCCAACAATGCACACCTATGATCTCACCCAAGATTGAACCCAAGACGTTCAGCTTGTCTTGTAACCTAAAGATCTTGGATTAGTATATTAGCATAAATAAATGTTCTAAATTTTCTCTTTGAATCTCTTTTCAATTGAAAAGTATTCAGTGATGCGTGACATCATGTAGAAAGAGATGTACATTTTTCATCGATTTAAACAAAATCTCAGGATGCTATTCAATGAATTAATTCAGATTATTATTTCTCATTCTTTATCCAGGTCCAAGGATAAGAAAACCACGAATGTGTAGGACAAATGATGAAATTAACTTAAAGCGACCACGAACTTCTTTCACTGTACCACAGTTGAAACGTTTGAGTCAAGAATTTGAACAGAATCGGTAAGCTGTTTTTTTATTTTTTGATTAGATTTAATAGAAATTCACTTAGTCCTATTAGACGAACTTGATATTTTAACTTTTGTTCATTGCAGTTAAACTTATTCTTGGTAGACTCCTTGTTGGTTTTTTCTTTTTCGAAGTAGTTATTCAGGTCAGAATATTTATTAGTCTGTCTGTCTGGATTCAACATAGAACTTGACACCGAAGTGCAGCAGTTCGATTTGCCACGTTCCAAATAGCACACAAAGGTAGACAAGAAAATGAGTGAAGAGAATCAATAGAGTTTTGACAAGTATAAGAGTGAAACAGAATGAGTAATGGCAGAAAGGAATGTGAAAGATTACAGAGACTGAATACATCTGCGTAAGCCATTGACAACGATTTTGAGCCATGTCACCTATTGTCTCCAGCCATTGATTCTTAGAGTCCCGAGGGCCCCAACCCAGAGGTCTGCATCTCCCTACCTGACTCAGTTTAACTGTCAAGGATTTCATGGATTGATGAGGCCATGTTTTTGTTTGGCCACCACTTACTCCTCTTTTCCAACCTGCACCTATATCAGCTAGTAATGCCCGTCTGTCGGGGGAGACGATGGTAAGGCATGCACAGCACGTGACCTAACCATCTCAATCTATGTAACTTTATAGCCTCTTCGATTGATTTTCCCTCTTTGCCCAACACTCTACGCCAAACATCAACATTGCTTATCTTATTATACCACCTAGCTTGAGAAAGAGAGCGTAGACATTTACGATCAAAAACAGTCAACCTTTTCATGTCTTCAACTCGTATTGGCCATGTTTCAGAGCTATAGAGAAGGACGGAGCGAACTGCTGAGCAGTATACACGTCCCTTGGTTGATAGCCGGATGTCACGCCTACTCCAGCGATGGCGTAAGTTAGCGAAAGTAGCTCGAGCTTTTTGAATCCGTGCTGAGATTTCGTCACCAATCAATGCGCTGGTTCTGATACAACTTCCCAAATAAGTGAAGTGGTCAACATGTTCTATCACTTCACTCCCTATCATTAAGCCAGGGGTAGACGTAGTCCAGTCCTGTAGCAGCATCTTACATTTATTAGAGAGAGCAATTGTTTTCAGTGAATTCTTTTGCATACCTCATAGCTATAAATCCATTCGTGTTAGCATACAGTAGCTAGTAATGGTTAATTAGAATTATTTCAGGCTAGACCACGAACTGACATCAGTTAGAGAACCGGTGAGAACCGGGGAGTACAGGACAGCTGTTTCGTCCTAGTTTGAGACTCATCGGCAGTACGCACTCACTAGCTACAGGACGAAGTTGTCTGGAGTTTTGGGGAGAAGTCGTGACCAGTGTAGCCAGCCCTGCCGGAAGTGAGGACAAATACTCGCCAGCGATGACATTGGTTGGTGTTCGCGCTAAAATCACGAATTGGTGGGAATTAGAATTCATTTACCGTTGAATCGGGTTCCAGTGGCTGAGTGGTATATGAGCCAGCTTGCCTTGTAAGCGGAAGGTTCTGGGTTCAAACCCTGACGGTGGGTGCGTACTGAGTGTCAAGCTAGGACGAAACAGCTGTCCAGGACTCCCTGGGCTGTTTTCAGTGTTTCCCTAACTTATATTAATCTGTGGACTAACTCGAAACAAACAGGATCCCTACAAACTAATTTTTGAAAACTATTATTATATCAGAAAGTGTATTGTCGTACAAGTATAAGATGGAGCAGTAGGCTGTTAGTTTTCATTATCACTTAAAAGACGTGTGATCAGTAAGAACATGAGGCAAAATGAAATGAAATAACTCACTGATGCGTGTAAACATATGGTCAACAGAAGTACAGGTTCCAAGAGTGAGGTTAGTCAGTGGTCTGAGAGACAATATGAATATTACTGAGGAATTAACCAACAAACAGGATTGGCCAGATGTAAGTTCAAGGGCAACAAATAACAATAATAATGACGATAAAATAATAACGATGGTGTGGTTTAAACACAAAAGTACCATTACAGAGTGATTATCAGGTAATGAAGCATTAAATAAAATGGAACGAAAGGACTGTGGAAATACAATAACACAGTTGAAAAGCATTAGTAAACCTGAAGTAAGAGAAATAGTAAGAAAGATAATAAAATCATAAGTTTATAAATGAGACAAAGGGGTTGGGAAAAATGGGATAGGGAATTAAAGCGTTAGCTTTCGTTGTTTATAGAAGATTCACTGATCTTATTGTAGGTCAGGATAAACAAAGCGGCCGTAAGTACTTCTTCCGGATCGCGCCTTCCTGTATTAACTGCTGCCGCTTTTATTACTGATGATAAGAGAAGTAGCCTAGCTTCCCTGGGTGGATTATCAGGAATCACTGAGAACACCTGCTGCGTCTAAACTGTCTACTATTCATCCAAAGAGATACGTATATGATCATACATGAGTGTGGATAAAACCCTTTGAGTACAACTTATATAACTAGCTCCACAGGAGCAACGGAACTCATAGAAGCGAACTGATGAAGCTGTCATTGGTAACTTATTTTCGGTTCACTGTGTGAGAAATGGTTCAATTTAGAAAGCAAGTACCAGGTCAGCTGCACGCAATGTTCTGTCAACCTATCTAATAATGTTTGTTAAAATTAATAGATTTGTAGTTGTGGGGCATTAAGAAATTACTGGAAGCAGTTATTCAGTGTAATTATGTTTATTGTGGTACACTACTTATATTGTATTTGAGTAGTTTAAGTTTAGATACAGATTTAATGAAAGCAAAAGACAATAGCATTTGAAGCTTTCATGAGAAATTCATTTAAGGCCTAGAGCATGTAAATAAGGGTGAAGTGGTGATTTTCATGTTCACCTAAGGGAAATTGCAGAACATTGTCTCATTTTCACCTTTTTTGTATGAGACAAGGTGCTACTGGGGATAAAAACCCAACGTGTTATCTTCAACTAGTAGAAGTCATAAAAATTTCATGCAATATTTATAAACATTTATGGCCTTATTTAATTTCTAATGATTATGTATAATCTCAGTCTCCCATTAATTAGGTGTTATTTGCTTGCACATTTCGATACCTCTGGCTATTTGGTTCTTTACTAGGGAGCGTTATTCAAATAACTTATGACAGAATTCTGACAAGCTGTGAAATTTCTCCATTCATTTGCGTTCCCAGTAGAACATAGGACTTCACACTTTTGAAGTCTTAGTGGTCGTGTTCTCTTACCAGGTGGTGTCGTTAACCTCGAACCATGACTTCACTTCTCACCGGCCTTACTGCCGTCTAGGCGGTGAGGTTTAGGAATAATTTGGTTGGGAATCTAGTCCAGGCCATGTGTGTGATTGACGGACGTCCTACTGTTGAAGTCAAAAAAATTTCTGGAGCGTATATTTTGATGCCAGAATATTTATTGAAAGTACTTCATCTACTTCTGTCTAGGCAACACTGTAGTGTTTTGATTGATAGTTTGGTTTTAAGTTGGAAAGAGTCAGTTTGTCGTAAATGCAGCTGTTTCCAATACAGAATCACTAGTGGTAAAGGAATCTGGATAAATTATTCAGAAATTTTATGGCAAAGTTAGGTTTCAGCACTAATTTTCATCAGCTGTAGAACTAATGCAGTTAAGAAGGGATGAATAGCTGCCTAAAATCAGTTTGTGACCCGTTTAAAGTTCAAGGAATCAAGGTGAATGAAATTAGATAAGTGGGTGAACATGTCGCTATTGATTCACAGAACCAGAATTTCCAATTTTCAACGGGTCTTGCAATGCGTCATTGTCATCTCATTTGAGTGTTTGTCCTAATATTTGACTTAGTGAACTGCATCGATCATGGTTACAAATTAGGACTTCGATGAATCCGGCCATTACATGTGATTAATACTTTTAGCCCTTATTCATTTGAGAAATGAAATAAAGAAAGATCCATTTCAAACTTGATTTCAATGCATCAAGAAACCGACAATGATATCTTTAACCATCAGATGATTATGTATAACCTCAGTCTCCCATTAATTAGGTGGTATTTGCTTCCACATTTCGATATCCCTGGCTATTTGGTTCTTTACTAAGGAGTGTTATTTAAATAATTAATGGCGGAATACGGGCTTGTCTTGTAACCGGAAGATCCTGGGTTCGAACCCTGGTAGTGGGTGCGTACTGCCGATGATTCCCAAACTAGGGTGAAACACCTGTCCAGTAATCCATGATATCAATCCGTGATCAACTCGTAAAGACAAAACTAATCCTTACAAAGCAATTATAGATAGTGATATCGCTGATTTTCTTTGTCAGATTATTTCCAACAAAAGTTTATTATATGTCATCAATGTCTTATAACAGTAAAGCGATTGCCTTTTGTTCTTATTAGGCTTATGGTGCTGTTTTCCCCCAGTTAAGGCTAATATCAATACCATTTTTTGAAATCCAATGACTAAAATTTCATCCGCATTCAAGTGTAGAAGAGCTGTAATAAGATACATTCAACTTTGGATAGTGCAAACGGTAAATTTCAGGTGTGTAGATATCTGCTATTTTTATATAGCAAGATTTTATTTTACAATACTTAACGAGTATCCTGAATTCTTCAACAAAGTGGAGAAATTAATCATGAGTTGAGTTAGGATTTTTTTTGTCTTACTTTTTCTGAAAAATTGACATCTTAGAGATAAAAACCTTTAGTAACTGATTCATGCAGGTTAAATAAAAAAGACTTGCTCAAGCCTAGGAAATCCCTCTAGATACTGATGTGGAGTTTCTAAAGAATCATTCTTAGGAGCGCGAAAATGTTAGATTTCAAGAGAAAAAATTTCTGAATAAAGCGAGAACTACAGTATTTGCAGAATAAAGTGGTACCATCTTTTATTTCGTTGCCTTCTCGTCAGCTGCTTACAGGGCAAAGACATTATTAAATATATCTACAAAAACAATTTTAACATACTTGCACAGAGGTCATTTTAAACAAAAATCAATCGATCAGTATATGCATATATATATATATAATATTAAACACTATTCCGAACAATAATAATCATACACAATGGAAACTTTCAGCATTTCGCATTCAGATGAAAGAGAGATGAAAATATCCAGTATACAGCGCAAAGAAAGACTGATAACCGCTTCTTTCTGGACGCATAAATCAGGTTTCAGGCGCTCGATGGAAATGGCTTCAGCAAACTTGAGGAGAATCGAGCTCTTTTGCCCACTGATAATTTTGAACGATTTTGTGACGTCCACCTCATGAGCCGTGTCAAGATGATGCCTGGCGATGGCACTGTTTAAAGCATTTGTCCCCTTTAGACATAAGCTTATTGGTGCATGTTCAGAAAATCGTAGATATGCCCTTCTTACTGTCCTTCCAATGTAACTGCTCCCACAGATACATGTAAATTTGTATATACAGTTGGAGTTAACATGAGAAGGATATTTATCGATTTTTGATTGTACCAAAGAGCAATTTGTTCGATAGACGGGAAAGAGCTTAGTTGCAGGATAGGCTGTGGCTAGTGACCTACTCAGTCTTCTGCTGCCCAGTGCGGTAATTTTTTCACCTTTATAATCAAGTTGAATGTAGACTGGCTTTTTCTCCACTGTGATTTGTTTTACATTTGTGACTTCAGATCTTCCATACTTGTTAATGAACCTTTTAGGGTACCCATTTCTCTTCAAAATATTTTCAAGAAACTCATTCTTCCCCTAATTTCTCTATAGAGCATATTCTCCTTGCTCTATAGTACAGAATCTTGACTTTTTAGTATGGTCCAGGTGCAGTTCTAAAGTGCAAATAATTTGGGGCCACATATAATGAAACAACGTATTTAAAGATAGACATCATGGGAAGTCGTGATCAACGGGGTCCATCAAGTTGAGTGTGTGAACAGACACTCGCTGATGACATTGGTTGGAAGTTACGCTGTATATATTGCGAATTGGTAGAAGTAAGAGCTGATGGGTCATTGGATTCTGTCTCAGTGACTGAATGGTGAACGAGTTCGCCTTGTTAGCTGGTGGTCTTGGGTTCGTTCACTGGCACTATGTTCATGGGTAAGTACTGATGAAGAGCCCCAAACAAGGGATTAAAAACATGTTAGGATGGCATGACTACTTTAGTCTTATCTGACCAAAAAAGGATATCCATGATAGGAACCTTTTTAGAAAAAAAGTCTAGGATTTCACATAACCTCAGTTATACTCTCAGGGGATAGGAAGATCCGACGGGGTGCGATGAATTACATTGAATGCTTCATTTCTCTCCATTGAGTGATCACTGTCAACAGAGCCTGGGGTAGTTATTACTCTTCCTGTAGACATCTGCAATGGAAGATGTATCTATGAGGAGAGAGCGTTTAAATCCATTAGTTACGTACCTCCATAGTTGACATTTATCTGGTTAAGTAGCAATTGCCTTTAGTTCTTTGAAGGAACTTATAAGACTTCCAAGGTCACTATTAATTGTGTAGCATTAAAAATATTAAAAAGTGACATTTAACTTCATTAAAGTTACTGGAATCTATCATCTCGAAATTATTTAGTGGACTATGTTAGTCTACAATCAGAGCCAACAAACTACACCCTAGTTACAAGAAAAAGGCAACAATTTTATAATTATCTCTCTGAATAGTAATAGTTGAAGGAGATGCATATTTTTAGACACAGTGGAAAAAATATAGAGGTTGTCAGTGTCAAGAAATTATTATTATTGTTCCCTTGGGTTCCTAGTGGAACATAGGGCTTCAACTGCACATCTCCACTTGCTTCTGTCTTCTGTTGTACTTTCCACCTGCATCCATGTTAGTCCATACTGTTTCAACTCCTCTTCACACGATCTCCTCCATGTCACCCTTGAAAGTCCCACTACTCACCGCTTCCCTTTCGGGTCCCGCTCAAGGGCCTGACGTGCGATGTCACCCAGCGGTCTCCTCAGCGAGTGTCCAATCCATCTTCACTTTCTCCTGCATATTTGTTGGGTGATTGGTTCTTGTTTTGTTTGTTCCCATAGTTTCTTGTTGGTGATTCTTTCCGGCCATCTGATCTTCAGTCACGTCGGTGGCACAACGGTTAGGACTCTCGCCGACCATGCACATGGTCCGGGGTTCGATCCCCTGCCGACGCACACCCGGTGTCAATGGTCGACCTGCAAAATTTGGGCTACCGATATCACATGCTGAAAATTCCATACTTGTACCAAAAATACGGTGTGGAATCAAGCTATAATCGAAAATCAAAAATAAATATTAATCATCGTCATCATCCATCTGTACAAGAGATACACCGATGTTACTTTCATTATTTGTGATGAGAATTGTGGTCCACTTCAAATCTTCAATAAAGCCCACCTAAACATTGATTTCACGTAGAAGTTGAGTTTAACTCAATGTTTCATTTCCTCGACGTTCAACTATGAAGGAAGGAAGACAACTCGCTACAAAAGCCAACATGGAACGAACAATTTATTAACTTTGGAAGCTGTATGCCTCTAAGCAGAAAGATAAACCTAATATACTCTCTTTCCTCAATGATCCGGAAGATTTGCACTGAAGAGTCAATCGACGGAGAATTACAAAATCTCTGAGGGACCTTGATTGAAAATGGATTCCCACCCAGATTCATAGACAAGAATCTAAAACCAAGCCCCCAAAAAGATGCTGATGTTGAACCTAGAATTGAAAAATGATACCGAAGCAGAAATTCTCCGTAGACGACTTTCGAAGTCTCTCAGTAGAACAAACTTCACCGCCAGCTTACGAATAACATTCTCCTGCAAGAAACTACTCACCCAGCACGTGAAGGACAAGCTGTCACATTTGGCCACTTCAGCATGTATATACAGGTTCATTTGCTCTTGTGGTGCTGAGTACATCGGACGTACCATGTGTCCGCCTGTAAAACGCCCGCGGGAACACTATCAAGCATGGTTAGCAAAGGGAGAACGCAAGGCGGTATACAGTTCGACAACAGGACATCTGGTGAATTTCGGACACTCAGCTCCATTTGAAAAGTCCTTCAAAGTCAAATACAAGATCCGATCCAGCCTACCGAAGGGAGTGAAATCAAGACATCTAGGAATAGCTGAAGCACTGGCGATCCAAAAACTCAAGCCTACTCTATGTGTCCAGAAGAAGTACGTTCAAACGTTGTCCCTACTGTGGCCATCATGAAAAGTCAGTCTCACCCATAATCATTATCCTATCACCTTTATTGTTCAACCCTCCCGTGAATTTGTTATGTTCACCTTTTTAAATCCCTATCTGCATTATTAGATTTGATTACTGTTTTTATCTTTATACGTCTTAACCTCCTATCCATTTCGTTAACACTACGTCCTTAACCTGAAATTATACAAACTGACGAGTTTTCCAGTAATTATAATCCCATTTTGTCTTTCCTACTCGATCTTCCTGATTATTACACATTGGAATTTTCAGCTTGACCCTTGACCTGAGATATTTCTGGAATAGTGCCACCACCTATCTTCTGTTTATTACACTTAGTAATCTTATTAATCTGACCTCTGACCGGAAATAATTCTGGAACTTTCTCACCCATTTACTATAAATACACGAATGTACAGCCTCCTAGTTGATGACTTCGTCGAAAAGAAAATTTTCTTCACTGCAACCGTCTTTTTAAATATTAAAGTGTAATAATGTCACCAAGTTCTCTCTGTGTGATTAAAGTGACTGACCTTCGAAACGCGAAACCAGGTAAATCTGCTCAGTGAATATAAATTCCTGAAGTTTCGCAATTCAAATGTATTGTGGTTAACTATTATTTAGCGTAATAAGTGTCGTTTCGCTTGCTTTATTATCATCTTCTGTATATTTTATTACCTTTGAATTTTCACTTTAGCTATCTTGATGAGATTCGTCGTAAGAAACTTGCCAAAGAACTGGACTTAAGAGAATCACAAGTAAAAATCTGGTTTCAGAATAAACGTGCAAAAACGAAGAAGGTGATTTGTAAGACAGTTTTATTATTATTCTTGATTATTTGTAAATTTTAATGAGTGATGTTCATTCATTTATTGTGAAAAGAAATGTAATTTTGAAATAGCTTCATTCATTCGAAATCAGTTGTATTCTATGAGCTGGTTGGTTTAGTTGTGAAGCTTTCGCCGTCCCTCTGGACAACATCTACAGTGCATGTTTTAGCATAAAATGAACTGGTTTAAATTCTCCATGAAAGATTTAAGTGTTTCCTGGCAGCCATCTTAGTCACTGGTAGTTGATTTACACCTGTATTGATCATTTTTGTTGACCTGGAATTTGAACTTTCTCGTCACATGATTTACTGTTTATTAGTTGGTAAATTTGGTCTATTTTAATATGTTTGTTAATCGCTGGTTGATTCACCTGAGTATCAACCAGGCTGCTAGGAATTCTCTGGCACTTTTGGTGTTTCCTCTGTTTAAAATTTCGACATGATTCCAATCAAACTGGTACCTGTAATTATCTATATGCATTGATATGAAAGAATATATATTATATCTTTTTACAGCTAATTTGTGTTCTTGGATTCCTTTTATATCCGGAGCTGAAACAGTGTGAAGTATTTTTATTTAAAGTTTGATACTACTTTAATATTTGTAAGTAGTTCACATATGTTCACTAAAATTTTGGGGTGTCCAGTCTTGAAGTATTCTCTTAAGGCATTCGTCTTGCGCGAAACCATGCCGAAGCGTACTATTCCAATTTTTTATGATGTACAGGTATTTATATCCGTATATGTGTTTCTACTTTTTTAGGCATCTGGAGCACAGAACTGCTTAGCTCTACATCTAATGGCTGAAGGTCTTTATAATCATTCAGTTCGAGTTCGTCCTGATTCAGAAGACAACAGTGACGACATGACTGTCTCAGAATAATGTTATTTAAAAAAAGTAATAATAATAACAATATATGATGAATATATGTATATGAAAAGCTATCCAAAGAATCTGTATATCAATTCACATCATTTAATGCTTTTTAAAATCATTTATCATTTATTGTATTTTATAATTAACGGCCTATGAAGGCATTGATCATTTTTTCTCATTGAATATTTGTTTATTTGAATCATTGAACACATTGCCATGGAAATAAGCCTGATTGATTAATTTGAATTGTTTATATACTTAAACATACATATATATGTATTATGGTGATTCGTAATTCAAATTTAATTTTCAGTTTCATTTTATTTTAATTATTCATTTCTTTGTGACTTTTTTTGAATATGTAATATGCTTATTTTACTTATTTAAACAACAAAATTCATTCTTGGATTGGGATTACTTACACTTTTGATTTTGGAATTTTTGTTTTAAACAAAACTTGAGGCAATAAATCATTTCTACTTGTTTTTATTGATTTGCTTCAATTTTCAAGTTTCAGTTCAGTCTAATTTTATTAATTAATTGCGACAAACTAATTAGTTAATTTATGCCAATCATATTCATACGTCTCTTTTACAAAAAAATGTAAAAGCACAGTATAACGACTGTTTTCCTTTATTTTATTGTGTGAAGAATAAATTATTATTATTACTATTATGTCATGAGAAGGTATTTTCTTTTACCGCTGTTCCCAGAATCATTGGGGTTGTTATTTCCTTTGGGAAAGTAGGGTGATATCAACATATCTCCAGTTTACTCTGTTCTCTATAGCCCTTTTCAGCTGACTCCATAAGTGCTTGTAGGCTTTTGTTGACTCCTAACATGATGTCCTCTATGTTACTGTCTCAACCACACCGAACTCTTCTTTGCCCATTCACGTTCCATTTGGTGGCCTCCCCCTTGAAATGTGGTGTAATTCAGTGGTCTAGTCAGTGTAAGCTTCATTGATCTGTTGCCAGAGTCCCTTGTTGTTTATCCCTCCCACCTGGCGTACCATCTGATCTCCAGTATGGAACAAAGGTAACTGTTGGTGAAAGTTGGCAGCCTGTTGCAATTTGATTTATGTGACACATGTTCCATAAAGAAGCGTTGACTTTACACAAATGTTCGAGATCCAAATCTTGTTCTTCATACTAAGCGCAGGAGATTTCCATACTGATTTCAGAGTAATGGAGGTCTGGCTTCCCCTTTTGATTCTGCCTCTGACTTCGTCATTTGTGCCGCCTGTAGTTAAAATGATGTAGCCCGGCGGAGGTAAATGAATGAGGTGACTTCCTTTAGATTTCTCCCGTTGATCTTTGACTGATATTTGCTTTTATTGTTGGTTAGGTGTTTTCATCAGTAGTGTCTTCTCTATGTACACTCGAAGTCCTGTCTTCGTTACCAGCCTCTTTTGCCTACTTGTTGGTTTTAACCTGCAGATCTTCAAGTTTGTATGAAATTAGGCATAAATCGTCAGTGACGTCCATATCTGCAGAAGTCTTTCTGTTGGTCTCACATATGGCCGTCTTCCCACCCACCCCGAAGGTCTAAACCTCATTTAAAACGCAAATCTTTCCACGACTTTTATGTTAACTAGTGCGCTGATTTCAAGTTTATTTGCTATGCAAAATATTTCTGCTGATTTCTAAGTTTACAGAAATCAAATGGTTTTATGTTTTAGATGTACAAATATCCAAAAACTGGAGTACTCTTAGATAGTTACGAGAAAAAAACTGTAATTTAAGAAGAAACAGCGTTTACAGTTTTAGTGAAGTTCATGTCTTGTCAGTTAAAGTGTCTACAGTTCAACAGCAACGATTGTAACTTCAGCACCTACAAAGTATATTGAAATTCCTGAAGGGATAAATATTTATTCTGTGGTCAGAAGAGATTATTTATAAGTGTTACAATGTATCTGTGACCCTTCAGCTTCAATGTTTTATATATTACATGCTGCTCACAGTATATATATATATATATATATATAAGAAGTTAATTGGTGGATGGTTACTAGCAGTGGGATCCAGGATAACGCGTATTTCTCCCTATTTAGGACTCGTCAACTGGATGTACCTGCATCTCGCAGTGAGTGATGATGTTTCCATCGACATGTCAACCTGAGACCAAGCACTTCGGTCCAATCAATTGACAAGTAAATCTCAAAGTGAATGGAATAATTAATATGACCCGTTGCACAAAAGCTGACTCTCGTGGCCCAACTGGTCTAGTGGATAACGCTTCGCGGTTTGAAACTATGGACAATGGATTCGAGCCTCTGTGGGAACATCATCAACTACTGCGGAATGCAGGTAAATCCAGTGAGGAGTCCCAAATTGGGCAGGAGAAATGGGCGTCGAGCTGGATTCCACTGCTGGTCACCATCGACCAATTAACTTCTAATTACATGCCCAGACATCGTCAACGCATCTGCACAAGAAGCCGACATGTCAACCTGAGACCGAGCACTTCGTTCCAATCAATCGACGGGAAAATCTAAAATTGAGTTAAATAATATATATATATATATATATACATATATGGGAAGCACCGTTTCAACTACAGGCGGAACTGACGGGGATTTCAGAGCAAGAATCGGAAAAGCGAGACAAGCTTACACTACTCTCAAGTCTGTGTGGAGGTCAACAACACTCAGCATCAAAAATAAGATCCGAATTTTCAACTCCAATGTGAAGTCAGTGCTACTATATGGATCAGAGACTTGCACTGCGCGTCATAAAGATCATCTCATATAAACTACAGACCTTCATTAACAGTTGTCTTTGCTCAATACTACTCAAGATCAGATGGCTGGCCAGAAAAGATCAGCAATAGGGATCTCTGGCAATGAGCAAACCAACCAGGAACCGATTGTGCAACAAATCTGCAGGAAAAAATGTAGGTGGATTGACCATGCTCTGAGGAAACCATCAAGTGACATCACTAGACAAGCCATTGCTCGAGTGGAACTCGAATGGGAAGCAACGAGTTGGTCGTCTAAGGGTGACATGGAGGAGGTCATGTGAAGAGGAGATGAAAGCGTGTGGGCAGACTTGGAGACAAGTGAAAACTTTAGCAGAGAACCGAAGGCAATGGAGACGTGCAGCTGAAGCCCTATGTTCCTCTAAGAACTAAAGGAAACAATAATATATATGACTTTATTTCCTTGCCGACATAGGTCACCAGGTCATGGCTACCTTTAATGATTCAGCAGCTAGATTCAGCTGCATTTGTGGTGTTCTTCGTAGTGAGACTGGTACCACGCCCCAGTAATTTGAAATCCTAGTGGGTTATCCGCTAGAATCATGCCTCTCAAAATTCATCAGTTATAGTACATATAATTTATAAGGAATGAAATAATAACAACAATAATTTGCTTTATGATACAGTGTGAAATTCTCGGCATTCGGTAAAATATCGCATCTAATTTACTTGATAACAACAAAAACACAAATCAAAAAATAGCATTACACGACTGATAATAGTAGCTCTTTGGTATTAGCAGTGGTAATGAAGTTAAAAGTGTACAAAAAGTGTAAAATAATGATTAACAATGTTAATACCTGGAATTACAAGTTAATTGAAATAGTGTCACCACTGACTACAAATAGGAGAGAGGTTTCGCGCCTAACATTATCTCTACCACAAATAAGGGTATCGTTGAGTTTCTGTACTCGGTTTTGCGAGCATATAATCTTTTATATTGATTTCTAGTCCTACCTGGTGAGATGCAAGGGGGAAGTTGAGAGTAGAGAGGGTGTTGAGGGGCAGACAATATTTCTCACATGAGTTCAGGTGTCTATCAACTACAGTAGTAACAAGTTGACTATGTAGCACATCACTTGCCCTACTTACAACCTTTAATACTCTTCTCACTACGACACAGTTCATTTCGAATAGTCCAGGAAAGACTAAACGGAAGTAATAAAGTACAGTAGGCAATATGCAAGAGTTAACAAACTGTAAAAGTAGAGGTTGAGTGATACCTGACTGCCTTAACTTCTTGATGTAGAAGGTTAGATGAAACATTTTCTTAGAAATCAACACAATATGGGATGACGAAGAAAGGTCAGAGGATGGAACTATACCAAGGCATTCTGTACTTGACTTAGTTTCTGTTTTAGTGCCCTCTTTGCTACAGGCATCATTTGAACGAACCAGTGCTTGTAGATCACATTTAGCCCTAATAATCGCTTTATTCTACACAAAATCTCTTCCCAATGTATAGAATCCACAGATCAATTTGTTGAGCAATATTTCCTCTTCATTCAGGATTTTCAAGTGGAATAGCAATCTATAGTATGTCATGAGGTGCAATGCTGTTCGATGTGAAGCACAGAATAATTCCTCATGATATTTTTCCAACGTCTCCGAGAGATACCCACCGATAATTTCAAAGCCATTTTAAAAGTAAGCGTGAGTACATTTTGCAACTCAAGGAAATAATTAAAAAGAATAATAAGAGTTAGAGAAAATACGATGCATTGTGTAATTGATAAGAAATTCAGGTAGCCCACTGATTTAAGCGTACCGCCAACAAGATTTATTTGAAAAGCAAATCAATTTAAAAATAAAGCGGGACGAATAAAGTCAATAATGCTGGCTAGTTGAATTATGGAACCTTTCAAAATATAACTGAACTTGGTTAGTTGAAGTTCCTTCTGTTGACAGAATATGAGGGTGGCTAATATATAATCTTGATTTCCATTGCCAATATGCTGATGATACATTTATAGTTGTTGAGAAAGAAAGTGAGGCTAAGGATATATTGGATAAATTTAACAGAACACACCCCAGCATAAGCTTCACTAAGGAAGAAGTAGAAGAAAATAACTCTATCCCCTTTTTGAATGTCCTAATGATTAAACGAACATACGGAACAATATGTATACATTTGTATAGAAAACCTACTTCCACTTGACAATCTACTCAGATCCTAAGCTTCGTACCTCTACAATGCAAACGTAATCTGGTTAGATCTTTGGTTCACCGGGCTAGAGTTATCTGTTGAAATGAGACACTAAACGAAGAACCCGGTAATATTCGCGTTCTACTAAGCAGAAACGGATATCCAACTAAATTCGTAAACAAACACATGAACTCAGAAAGTAAAAAGTCAAAGTTGCCGACTGTCTCCAAAAATTAAATCTTCCTAAGGTTACAATTCACGGGTGATTTCAATAGTGAGATCTTATCACAACACCTGAGAAGGGCCTTCAAAAGGACTTTCTATGCAGCTAAGTTATGCTGTGTATTTACTAGCCGACC